GACAGCAACATCAGTGTTGCCACTGATGCTTCACTGCCTTACAACCATAAGATTTGTCTAGTTATATATATATAATTGTATTAAAAGCCCAACAGTGAAAAGAAGAGAAAAAGAGTGGGTGAGGAAGGGGACCTAGTGCTCGCATATTTCAAGCATTATACACCTCCAACCGCTCTGGCGACTTCTCCGGCCAAGCATGGGCGTGGTCACGGGGACCCCATCCTGGAAGGCGTACAACACCACCAACACTCAAACCCTTCATGATCTCTTTCACACCTTTCTGCCAACCTATGTGCTATCCACCTCGTGGTTTGCACCGTCCTGAAGGAGGCACGGAGAACAACAATCGTCTCGGTAGACGGTGTTTCGGCATGCGTAGCACATGACCAAGCTATCGGAGTCGGTGGTGCAGGATGTTTTTTTCTTGATTGAAGTACCTGCCGCACGACCAAATACCCGTTTTCTAATCACCTCTTTACTAACACTCTGACGCCATCCAGAACCAGCCACGCTTCTGAGGCATCGGTAATCGAAGACCTGAAGAGGCCTCACATCATCTACCCACAGAGGCCATGTCTCGCACCCATACAACAACATAACCCTTACTGTAGCCTGTTACACACGACCCTTAAGATCCAGTGAGATGCCTTTTTGACCCCACAAGTGACGCGAATTAGCAAGCGTGATTCTAGCCTTTGAAATTCTTGCACTGACTTCATCAGACACACTTCCGTTAGAGCTAATACAACTACCGAGGTATGTAAAGTTTTCCACAATCTCCAGTGATTCTCCCTGAATTGTAAGGGATATGTTCGCAGACGGCACGTTCTGAAGCAGGACTTTCCACTTTGAAGGTGCGAGGCGCATGCCAAAAGATGGAATGATGGTGGTCAGTTTATCCAACAGAGCTTGTGCTTCGCTTTGGTCTTCAAAGGTGAGGGCGATGTCATCTGCGTACTGGAGATCGACAAGGCACTCACTAGCAACAATTTGAACACCGGGATTTTAGAGACTGTCCAGTGTTCGCCTCATTATTCCATCAATTACGAAGTTCAACAAGAATGGATAGAGTAAACAGCCTTGTCGCACAGCACTTTTTGTAGGGAAGCTTTTGGAGAGCGCACCATACAACAGCAAGATTGTTCTCGAAACCTCCGGACTAAAAGTACGAATAACGGTTGCAGTGGGAGAAAACGATCAATTTGCATTCAGTTCAGTGAGGGACGAAAGTGGTAAAGGAAAGTGTCAAACGACGTTCAGGCAGTTTTGACAATTGCAACCTCCCTCTCCAGACCCTCAGATTCCACATGTGGCTCCAAAAACGGCGAATGTATCCTCCGGAATGAGACACTGAGACTGATGCACCCCACAACATTGACTAATATTGCTTGGTTGCAATTTTGGGGTTTTGCGGGATAGGTATCTTTGCTCATAGCCACACCACTCTCGTTTGAACGGCCGCGTTTCTATTCTGGCGTAATTATTCCGGTGAGTCCACACCAAAGGGAAGCACTGGACTCGAGTTTCGCTCTTATTAGAGCTCATCAGCGGTGCATGTCCAATAGCCGTGCCGGGATTTGAACCCCGGACATCTGACATGCGAAGCGAGCGTGCAACCACTACTCCACCCACGCACATTGGACGCATCTGAATTATCACATCTGAACAGGCGGGCGTGCTCACACTTGGATGTGCACTGCTGATGAGCTCTAATAAGAGCGAAACTCGAGTTCAGTAGTTCCATTTGGTGTGGACTCACCGGAATTATTACGCCAGAACAGGAACGCGACCGTTCAAACGAGACTGGTGTGGCTATGAATAATATTGATTGGTTGACTATCATTTCGAGGAGTTTATATCAGAAGCACAGCTAACGAGCTAAATCTGTTTAACGGCACCTGAGCAAGCCGAAAAGGTTCGCGTTGGACACTCGCAGGGCAGCATGTGTTAGATCCGAAAGAGTACGTTAAAGGCGAGATGAATCAATAGATGATTGGCGCACCCCAGGCTTTTAAAAATCATTAATACACTTAAGGGACCACATCTCCTATTTGTTTGTTATTGTTCTATTAGTCCCTAGTGACTTGGATGATGAAAACTGACAAGTGCTATGCCGGTTTATAACACACTGTCTTCTTGTAGGTGGCATCATTGTCATCGACAGCAACCGCGGAAGAGAATACTTGTGCCTCCCGCAAACCTCCAAGTTGCCCACATCTTCAGCACTTGGCAACTTACAATATGAACGCCACTGACACCAGTCAGCCGTGGAAACCATTCACTGCATCCAGGAAGTGTGGTGCGACAGGCAGTACACCGGGAGACTTATTGGAAATCTAGCTGAATCCCTCATTTATAATGTTCTCAAGCCATAGGCCGATTTCGCCCTTCTGGGGCTGATGAGTCCCAAGAAGTGTTGTCGGGCTGGCAAAGTTTTTCTTCGGCAAGCTTATAAGTATTTTTCATCGCCAATTTGTACCACGACACTTCGAATATCGTGTCAACTTAAATGAAAGACAACCTTTGTGTAGCATACTGAGTTGGAGAGATTCCACCGACTTTAGTGTGAGTCCGCCGTGAAAACCAAACTGATAGGGGAATGAATGTAGTTGTCAAAGCTTGTCCAATCTGGATTCAAGCAGAATATAAGGTTGAGAAGACCACGGAGACCGCGCCTACCTGATGATTCGGAAGAAAGGCGAGACCGGTCATGGGCTGCCGGATAGTATTCAGCAACCTTTCGAGTGGTGTATGACGCCTGCCATGCTAGAATCTGTGCACCTATTTGTCCACCGCCAACAAGGAACGTGAAATAGCACTATTCTTGGCAGGCGTGATCGAGCCATCTTAGCTCGAATTGCTGGATACATTTCATGAGTGAAAGATCTGTCTCCCCAAAGACCTGTTTCCTGATAACAGTGTTCTGAATCCACTGGTTCAAACCGATTTCAGCTGCTGTTCGGAGGCATTGGAGGCCAGCGACCTGAAGATGTTCCACATCCTCGACCGGAAGTAGACAAGTCTAGGTGCTCAACAGTAGTATAACCCAGATAACCCTGAAGAGTCAGGTGATGCTCCTTTTCGTTACCACAAGTAATACAAAGCAATTTTGACCTTAGCGAAATACACTCATTTACAAACTAATTTGGTTTTGCGGGAGGCTCACCTGGAACCCAGCTGAATCTCTCGTTTGTGATGTTTCCAGGCAACTGAATGTGCTGCACCAGGCCGCGTCATGTTTCATTCGCTACGATATTCGAGATATCGCGAAACACGCATATTTGTAATGCAACTACTCATAGGTTGCTGAAAATTCGTCGGCAGCCCACAACCGGATTGGCCCTTATGGGACTCATCAGGTAGGCGCAAAGTGTAGCAGCAAAGTCGCTGGGGAATCCACTTCGGAGAACTCTTAGCACAATCATACTTCCCTGAGAGATGTTCAAAAATAACCGGATAATAACTGAATTTCGTGACTCAAGTACATAAAACGTGCGATCCGTTTCTCATCCCCCCTCACTCTCTTCCTCGAATACGTTCCCCTAAGCGGCCACCAGTGTTCTGGTTCACATAAAAATTGCTGCTGCAATGATTGTCCGTCTGAACGAACTCCAGGGGTACAGTTCTACCGCATAAACGCCGTAAATGAGAGACTATCTGGAAGCCTTTTGAGTCTCTTGTTCGCACCGGAAATATGTCTGACTGTTTCAACTCAAGCATCGTTTTCTGCCCTGCACAAGTTGACCCGATAGCCTCGGATATCCACACACCAAAAGTGGACATTTTTATGAGGATGCGGGGTAACCGTAATCCCATACGGAAGCTGTCAGCATCTATTACCCGAACTGAAGAATCAAAGCGCAGAATCAAAGGGCGCATGAGAAGAAAACAAATGGGCGCGGTCCACCATCGTGTCGATTACTCACAGCATAACTTGATTTTCTCAACGGCATAATCTCACATCACGACTAGCTTCGACCCCAATTTTTACCAGTGGCATCCCGCCACTGCTAAAACCCAAATTCCTCAGCTTTTTAGTCTCCGCATTGGTCACTGGCGTCATTCACGTCCCACTGGAGAAGCGGATGAAAATTGAGTCAGTGTGACATCTGATAAATCAGAAGGATGGCGTGTGATTCATGCACTAACGCCAATTGTCGGCTGTCAAAATCACAAAGGCGTTCATTTTGGCCAACTGAGTTGATGACCACGAGACAGTGCAAAACTGGGAATGACTTCTTTGCGTACGACATGCCAGTTTCCGAATTCATCAGAAGAAACCTGTCTACTGTCTATCGCAACTGAAACCACAACTCTCTGGGCCAAAAATAGTTGCAGGTTGGCGAAGAGATTTCAGCGACCTTAAAAGTAGTATGGTACGTTTAGGCAAGAATAGTTTGCGTTTTTTGCGTTTACCAGCTAGTTTTTCCCCAGACTTATCCATTTTTACGTCATATTCACAGAATTTAGCCTTCAGAAAAGGTTTGACAGGAATTTGCTATTGAGTGTGAGCGGTTGCAAGGAAAATTAAAAAAGCAAATAATTTGGCCAGGCACTAATAAAATCAACGTGATGATACACTGAGGAGATTCGGGAATTTCCGATGGGATTTCTATCACTAAGTGGAGCAAAACGATGCTGAAGCCCCGAGAGACGTGTCACAGAGGAAGTTTCCATCCACTTTTAAATCAAAGCTTTACGTAGTGAGCTTGAACGGGACACAGAATGACTTTACCTACAAAACGAAATCTTATTTGAGAATTACCAATTCTCCTCGAACCACCATTAGTATATCAGTACAAAAACATCACAAATGAGAGATTCAGCTGGGTTCCAGATGAGTCTCTCGCAAAACCAAATTGTTATGCAAATGAATGTATTTCGCTAATTTCATGCAATTTGGTTGCAAGTAGAACATAAGGTTGAAACTGCGCCTGATGAGCCCGGACTGGAAGGGCGAAACCGGTCGTGGGCCATCGATGAATTCTCAGCAACCTTATGAGTAGTGCATTACAAAAATACAAAAATAATTTAGCGAGCTAAGTGTGTTCCATTTGAGAAGTCATCACTCGAGGAGCCAGAAAACACGTGAAAACACGTAGTGTTTCCTGTGATTGAAGGATGAGCGGTGGTGCTCGCTGGCTAAGTGTACGTTCATCACACCGCGGATCAGCCACCTTAACCGAACGGTTGGGTGTTCAGATTACTAGCCGGGGGGTTGCGGGTTCGAGAATCCATTGAGTTTCGTGACATGCGCACAGCTGATGATTCCCAGTAGGTGTGAAACAAGTCGGCCGTGCTTCTCGGCCTTTCAGAGTAGACCTGGTTTATTTACAGACCGAATTCCCAATTGAAAATCATAGTGATTTGTGGCGGTCCGGCTAGCAAAAGCTCTCTGCCTTGTTCTATTATCGATGTAATTGAAGACTTGCACCTCTACCTGAAGTTGCTGATCAGTTCTTGATATAGGGCTAAAGGTTCTGGCCTGTCACGTCCGTTCGTGTGGTTGCATTTTTTGCTAGTAACTGGAGGCTCTACACAACACCGAACCACATGAATTCGAAGGCTGATTGTACGCAAAAACAGCCTAGAGCGCAACAGCTATGGTGCACATTTTGGATGGCAGGAATTTACGAATCTCAATGATCATTTCGATGGACTCCACAAGTTCAATGCTGACATACGAGGCTTCATCTGCGCACGCTGGACTCATCTGAATTTTTGTGTCCGAACAGATGAACACGTTCGCAATTGAGTGATGTCAGCTGAACGACGACCCAGTGACATTTGGGTCGAGGTTGTGTCGATCGATTGGCCCGCCAGTCGGGACTTCCCAGTCAGGTAGCGCCACATACGCTTGAAACTTGCTGGACACATTTTGTTTCAGAGGTTGGCGGCTGTGGGATTTTGTTACTATTTTTAGAAGTTTGTAGTTTCAGTTAGAGCCTAATGGAAATATTATGTGCTAAATCGTCATCTTTTACTTACCGCAAACAACGAAGAGTGTGAATACTATGGCCACTTAAGACCGGAAGACTTTGACCGTATCTCCAGCTAAAATATCTAATTGAAATTGCATTTCAAACTTTATTGCTCTAAATTTATTTCATAATTTACTCACCAGTTTTGCACTGAGCAAACGAAACGCTCCGGAACAAACATTCCGTAGCGCGGGGAGAAAACTTGGGTTACCCAGAAGCAAACAATCAGAAAGATGCACTGTGATCCGGGGTTTTTTTTCGCAGCACTGTCAGTTAGCAAAAAATCGCAGCGTCTAATGAAGTTGTTTACCAGACTGTGTTTACTGTATTAGTTGGAACGATTTGACTGGATAGGGACTGGTGAAAGCGATGAGTTTCAAATAGTACACACTTGTCTTAAAGCTTTCTACCGTGAGTTTTGAGGTTACGTGTGCTGAATGCTAAATGGTTAGATACTACTTTATACCACTATTTTTATCATTTACTTTTGAAGGGCATGGTCACAAACGTAAGCGACGAATGCGAAAGGGTAACAGGAGAATATGGGAGAAAAGAGATAAACGTCTCATTCGAAATCAGGCCAACAACAGTTCCAGTCAGATAAGATGAATCCCAACGTATGTGAGAATTTTGATATGGAACCACGTGTGTAAAGACCAACAACCGAAGAAAGGACGAGCACTGTTGAATGCTCTTCAACGGTAAGCGCTAGTACAGTCAAGACTTGCACATCAAGTACATTATCCATCATACTGGGTCTGGTGTGAGAGTAAATGACAAAAATGTACACTCAACGCAGTGTGAATAACCAACAGCAATACACCTGTTACGGAAAAACGGTACGAAAATTGCTCCTAGGGGTAGCAACATCTCCTGATCAAAGGTATCCAACCACTTATCCAGACTTGCCTTCCAGTGATTGCATAACATACCAAAGCAACAGTTCATTTGGAGGTCATTATTGGTCTATTTATCATGACATTTCACCCTATTAAACACCGTTTTATTAAGAGTGCTTTTGGACAATACGATGAATTCTAATGCCACCACACAAAATGTGTTACTCACATCCATCCAACTTGTCTGCAGACGGAGACCTGTCGATTGTGACTGACGTTCACAAACGATGGCGCACGTCTAGTACAATTCAAATAAGAACATAATTTGCCTTCCTCATTTATCACTTGCAAGGAGAATTTTTGAGCGTAGTAACCGGTATGAATAAAGTCTTTCTCTATTGTAACACCTGTTTCCGGTCCCACACCAACGTGTATTGAAGGTGTGAACTGAGTGGGAGGAGCGGAGAATGACAATCTCGTGCCACAAAAACTCATCTGGATTTGTCCGTCAACTCACAGCACCGAGATTGACGTTTCGCAAATCTTTTCAAACCAGAAAGCACTATTTTTTAAAGTGTGGACAAGTGAGTACATCAAAAGTGACAAAGTTTCTGGCGCACAAGTTTGGAAGCCTCTTTTGTGATGACAGAAGTCTGAATTTGACTCGGTAGCTTACCTTTCAGTCCGAATGGCTAAGGTGGCTTTTGATGTTGGTTCACGTTGACAGCTCTGAATCTTTTTCCGCCGAAATAATCTTTTTCGGAAGTATGGCTTGGGGTTCGAACAACTAGACAACTGAGCAAACCGGAAACCGCGGAGCAATCGACTGTCAATCTGATAGGAATATAACTAATCTCGTACCGCTGACGTGACCCTTCCGTACCCATAAGTCTGTACTGAGCGCAAGTTGATAATCAGTAAGCTAGCAAGTGGGAGACTAATTAGAGAAGATAGTCCATTGATCTTGGCAGGACATACTACTCATTTTTTCGAAATCTCTGTTTCGTTGTTCTTAGGGCTCACCACTTGGGCTTAGTTCCCGGGTTCTCATCACCCATAGGTTCTACTCCAGTACCAGATATCGTGAACGAGAGAGTCGTTTGAGTGTTTGTAAACGAAGGTAGTTCATCAGGTGACTGACGATAAAAAAACTTCATGCGCCATTAAGAATGAAATGCGGTTCTTCGCTCCGAAAGCAATGCTTGTTTGATAGATAGCCCTCCAATCCACGTCTCCTCAAATGCTGATGAGAAGTCTACAAGTGTAAATCTTGGCGAGCAGATCGACAACTGCCCAATCAGCTACCGATGGGTCCGTTTGATAGACCTCCAATCCACGTCTCCTCAAATGCTGATGAGAAGTCTACAAGTGTAAATCTTGGCGAGCAGATCGACAACTGCCCAATCAATCACCGATGGGTCCAACTTAACCGGTGCTTGCCACGGGGTATTGGGCACATCGAGGTCATCGTTAGTCATTTCAACTGTAAAAGGGAGAGGGAAGAAAACAAGCTCTGTTCCACTAAGTTTTGCCAAGACTGAGCAGATGGAAATGGAGGGATGTTACGTGCACTTTGTCAGCGCGGAGGTAGCATACCGAAAGAAGGGGAGTAATAAAAATGGTTTGGGAAACTGTCGAAAGATTGGGAGATGATAAATTCTACATGAAATGGACTCAGAATCTTTCGGCATCACCAACATTCCTTTTCGACCATAAGTGTTTTAAAAAAAGGAGTGAATAAC